CCTATCCCATTGCGGAGCACAGGCTCCGGACGCACAGGCTCAGCAGCCATGGCTCATGGGCTCAGCTGCTCTGCGGCATGTGGGATCTTCCCGAACCGGGGCACGAACCCGTGTCCCCGGCATCAGCAGGCGGACTCTCAACCACTGCGCCACCAGGGAAGCCCATTGTTCTTGATTTTAAAATACTTCTGTTTCCCAAGTGATCATGTTTTCTGTGTATTTTTTGTAGATACTCTTCATCAGATTTTGGAGGTTTCCTTCCATTCAGTCTAAATGTTTTTCTGTGAATTGGGTTTTTAACTTCATCAAAGGTTAAATTTTAGCTTGAAGGTTCCCAGACCTTGTAAGTAATATGAATTTAAACCCCAAGTCACATGAAATCAGGCCTACTGTTACATGTTCCTGGGGAGACTGCTTAGCCCTACCAGCCCCACATCCAGGCCAAGACAGATTAACTTCCTCAACACCACCCTGGGCCAATAAGCAAAGTTTTTGTGGTTCATACTTTCACTAAGTGTCCAGCCCTTCAACAATCCTGCTTTTGCGGGGATGTCAGTTACCATTCCCCTCCTCACATAGGCCCAGAGTGTCATCTCCTGTCCTGACATGGCTGTTATAATCCAATCTACTCTTTGGGTTTTGAGGTAGGCACAGATCCTAGGGCAATGGCCAGACTCTCCTGGTTTTCAGCTATTGCTTATTTGGGGCCCTATTAATTTTCCTTACTTTCTTAGGAGTCAGATATGTATTTAAAAGTGGTATTTCCTATATTTTAACTTCTATTTCCAAGTATTTTCTTGTAAGAGGGTTTTCAGGTTATCCAATCTATCATAATTATGGAAACGGAGGCATTTAAAGATTTTAAATCCATTTGGCATCATGAAGGTTACGCATATACTCAGCAAGACCAGTTTGAGAAAACTGGTGAGGGCAGAAAGCAAACCAATGGGTTCAAGAGTAAGTGTGTGATCAATTTCAAAACTTACTACAAAGCTACAGTAAGCAAGTGCAGTACTGGCATAAGGAAAGACATACAGATCAATGGAATAGAATGAGACTCCAGAAATAAACTGCTACATTTATGGTCAATGGATTTTCAACAAGGATGCCAAAATAATTCATTGGGGAAAAATAATCTTTTTAGCAAATGATGCTAGGACAACTGGACATCTACATGCAAGAGAATGAAACTGACCCCTACCTCAAACCACCCAGAAGAATGAATTCAAAAAGGATCACAGGACTTCCCTGGTGGAACAGTGGTTAAGAATCCTCCTGCCAATGCAGGGGACACAGGTTCAAGCCCTGGTCCAGGAAGCTCCCACATGCCACGAAGCAACTAAGCCCATGCGCTACAACTACTGAGCCTGCGCTCTAGAGCCCACGAGCCACAACTACTGAGCCCATGTGCCACAAATACTGAAGCCTGCGCACCTAGAGCCTGTGCTCCGCAATGAAGAGCAGCCCCCGCTCGCCACAACTAGAGAAAGCCTGCACACAGCAATGAAGACCCAATGCAGCCAAAAATAAATAAAATTTTTAAAAAAGGATCATAGACCTAAATATGAGAGCTAAAACTATAAAACTCTTAGAAGAATGCATAAGTGTACATCCTTGTGATCTTGGATTAGGCAATGGATTCTTAGATATGGCACCTAAAGCACAAGCAACCAAAGGAAAAAACAGAAAATTGGAATGCATCAAAATTAAACTTCTGTGTTTCAAAGGACACTATAGAGAAACTAAAAATACAACTGATGGGAGAAAATATTTCCAAATCATATATCTGATAAGAGACCTGTATCCAGAATGCATAAAGAACTCTTTCAACTCAATAATAAAAAGACAGGGCTTCCCTGGTGGCGCAGTGGTTGAGAGTCCACCTGCCGATGCAGGGGACGCGGGTCCGATCCCTGGTCTGGGAAGATCCCACATGCCGCGGAGCAACTAAGCCCACGCACCACAACTACTGAGCTCACGTGCCACAACTGTTGAAGCTTGTGTGCCACAACTACTGAAGCCCGTGCACCTAGAACCCATGCTCTGCAACAAGAGAAACCACAGCAATGAGAAGCCCGCGCACCGCAACAAAGAGTAGCCCCACTCGCCGAAACTAGAGAAAGCCCGTGAGCAGCCAACGAAGACCCAATGCAGCCAAAATTAAATAAATAAAATAAATTTATTAAAAAAAAAAAGACAGACAATAACAGATTTGGGCAAGGAAGTGGAGAAACTGGGATCCCCATACATTGGAATCCCCATACATTGCTGGTATGAATGTGAAATGTTACAGCTCTTTTGGAAAACAGTTTGGCACAGAGTTACCATGTGACCCAATAATTTCACTCCTAGGTATATACCAAAGACAACTGGAACATATGTTTACACATAACGTGTACACCAATGTGCAGAGCATTATTCATAAAAACCAAAAAGTCGCAACAACCCAAATGTCCAGTGATGAATGGATAAACAAATTGTGGTATATCCATATAAATATTTTAGCCATAAAAAGGAATGAAGTACTGAGACATGCTATAAAACATGTGAAAATATTATACTTAAGTGAAAGAACACACAAAATGCCACACACTGTATGACTTCATTTACATGAAATAGCCAGGATAGGCAAATCCATAGAGACAGAAAGTAAATTAGTGGTTGCCAGGGACTGGAGGAAGAGAGGAGGAGGGACTGCTAATGGGTATGAGATTTACTTGGGGGTGATGAAAATATTCTGGAATTAGTGGTGATGGCTGCACAACCTTGTGAATATACTAAAAACCACTGAATTTTATGCTTTAAAATAATGAATTTTATGGTATGTGATTTATATCTCAATAAAAAAAGAAAGGTTAATAAAGTAAAAAATCCTGGCTACTGTTATTGCTATGAATAATAAATCATCTTTCATCTCTGATCCAAGACTTTCATCTTCTACCAACAGCCATGAAACTGCTGCACGCTAATCTGTTGGTTTGCAAGCAGGGTAAAGTCGCAGACACTTCATGGTTCTTCATGAGGCATTAATGTTTTTCTGTTCTGTTTTTCTTTTTTAATTAATTTATTTATTTTTGGCTGCATTGGATCTTCATTGCTGAGCGGGCTTTCTCTAGCTGCGGCGAGTGGGGGCTTCTCATTGCAGTGTCTTCGCTTGTGGAGCACAGGCTCTAGGCACGCGACCTTCAGTAGTTGTGGCTCATGGGCTCTAGAGCACAGGCTCAGTAGTTGTGGTGCACAGGCTTAGTTGCTCCGCAGCATGTGGGATCTTCCCAGACCAGGGCTCGAACCCGTGTCCCCTGCATTGGCAGGCGGATTCTTAACCACTGCACCACCAGGGAAGTCCAGCATTAATGTTAAAATAAGAAACTTCTTTTTAAAAACCTGCTTCTTTAGATCATGTCTGTCCTCTCCTATGAGACTGGTCTGCGTTTGTTAAGTTGGAAGAAAGCACCATGGGGAAGGCTGCTGCTTTCCCATGAAGGGGGCAAGGATCAAAGGCCCCCTATACCACGGTGTGGGTCAGCATAGCCAAGCAAGCCCCAGGTGCTGGGCTGCGAAACAGGGTCTTCTGAAAAGAGGTGGCAGAGCCTCTCAGTGCCTCACCTCCCCAAGACCACTGCAGAACTGCCTGCAGGGCTCCTGCCCTCATCTCACTGTCAAATAATGGGTTGTAGCAGCCTGCCAACAACAGGAAGGGGAATCAGCCCCAGTACTCTCTTCTCTCAGATGCCAAGAATCCCCCAACCCACCCCTTTGACTCTTGGCTTAATTCACTGGGTCAAAATGAATTACTTTATTCTCTGGGCTCTAACACCATGTTCTTCTTTCTTTGTCAGATAAAAACATAATAGATTCATCTCTTTTTATGGTGAGTTATTTACACGTCTTATGGATTATGTGGTTTGGTACTTGGGGGCAACTAGACATGGACTCAACTCTTGGCCGACCACTCACTAGGTCTGTGTACTTGGGTAGGGAGGACCTCTTAGAGACTTAGCTGCCTCATCTCCAAGATGGAAATACTACCCACCACCCAGAGTTATTATAAGAATTTAATAAAACCACACTAATGAAGCATTTAGCCTATTTCCCAGAGCATCTTTGATAATTAAAATATAGTAACTGGTGTAAAAGGAATAAGGCAAAATTTGGGCAGAGAAGATTGAGTTTAGCTAATTGGCAAGTGGGCACGAGACCAGGACATTTTTGAAAAATGTCTGACATGCAGCAGGGGCTCCACAAAAGTTAGTTTCTCTCATACTTCATCTAAGACTGAGCTTGAGCGCAAGGACCAGGTTATCTTTTAGCATGCTGAGTGAGCCTCAGGCACGTTATTCTGCGTTACTCGCAAATTTTTTAATGCTCCAAAAAAATTTAAAAGGCAGGGGATGCTTCAAATCAGTAGATTACACTTCCGTCCTCTCTTCATCTGTACTTCAAATGCACTTATTACAAATTTTAAGTACTTATGTTGTTCTATAATTATTTCAGGTTTGGTGGTCTGGCCTCCCCAAATAGACAAGAAGATTCTGGAAGATTCCAGGTGTCAAATATGGTTGTTTATATTCTACTCTCTAAGTACACAGCCAACTGACTGAACTGGTTCATTTCAAAGTGAAATGAGTGTAGTTTCTTGGCTGAGACCCCACTGCTCCCTATGACCAAAGGATCGGCAATTGAACACTCAGAAGGCCCCCTTCCTAAAGGGAAGCTGCCTCACCGCTGCCCCTCCATTCAATGTGATAAGGAGGGTGACCACCCATCCAGGTTTACATGGATGGTTAGATGCAGGATGCTCCACACCAAAAGTGGGAAGTCCAAGGCAAACCGTGAATTGGCTGTGAGCTGGTCAGCGTAGTCACCAACCAGCGACTACGTGCACATTCGTAGCTCTAAAATACCTTTTAAAACTGGTAAAACTGTTACTGGCAGGTTTAAGTCATATGGGGGAGACCAAAGAAGATAAGAAGCAACCGTTCACAGAGAGTGAAGCATACCTCAGAGATATCCAGCGGGAGATTGCCAACATACACCTCTGTCTCTCTTTTCTTGAATCCTAAGAAGAAAAATAGCCCAAAAAAAGGCAGGTGTGGGGCTTCCCTGGTGGCGCAGTGGTTGAGAGTCCGCCTGCCGATGCAGGGGACATGGGTTCATGCCCCGGTCCGAGAAGATCCCACATGCTGCGGAGTGGCTAGGCCTGTGAGCCATGGCCACTGAGCCTGCATGTCTGGAGCCTGTGCTCCGAGACGGGAGAGGCCACAACAGTGAGAGGCCCGCGTACCGCCAAAAAAAAAAAAAAAAAGGCAGGTGTAAGGCTAGAGGATTCAGAGGAGTTAGAACATGTGATAAGTGACACATTTTCCTCAATGTTAAAACATAAACACACAGTCCCCTACAAACATTCCTCCCCCCGTGATCAGTGAAGGGTTATACAGCACTCAATGGGTCAGCAAACACTTATCAGTGTTATGGGAGTGGTCCAGTGTTAAGTGTTGGCCTTGGATATGACTGCCTTCAAGGCAGGAGCGTACTCTCTGGGGGTTGGGAGGACAGCAAGTCATCAGCACACCAGGAATCCAGCGCTTCCAATGGGGTATTATGTAGTTTCAGGACCAAAGGGGGTAGTATTTCACAGTTAACATTCAGCTGAAGGAGGGAAGGAAGTGGGGGTTATTGCAGGAGGGAGGCAGAAGGGAATCCAGGCAGAGGGCAGGGCACACACAAAGGCATGGAGATGCGAAAAGGCCCCGCGCGTCTGGGAGGCTGACTGGAGTCAGGAATAGCTAGACGCACGCTGCAGGTGAGTGAGTGGCGAGAGCAGAAGGAAGAAAGGCAGGCCAGGCCAACTGCTGAAATCGCTGACTGCTGCCCACAGCAGTCTCAGCAGAGTCCACTGGCTGTGAGAAGGAGGTGAAGGGTTTAATCAGAGAGGTGACATCAACACGGCTAGGTTGCAGAAAGATCACTTTGGAGATGGTGGAGGGTGAAATGGGAGGAGATAAGGATTAAAGAGAAGTATGAGGTTAGGAGCAGCCAGCGCAACAGCGCCTGAGGGTCTGCACAGTGTGTGGCAGAGGGATGCATCCCATCATGTGAAAGGAAACGTGGTGACTGGAGCAAGGGCAGGATCCCAGGTTTCATGCTTGAAGAGAAACTGAGTAGGTTAATTAGGATCCAGGTTATAGACTGAGCGTCCCAGCACCAAGCAAACCCCCAAGCTAACTCACTTGGAGATTTCTGTTCCTCCAACACTCCATTCTTCCCAAATACTTCAGCAGAGGGTCGGAAGTCACTGCTGCTCCAGGACCTGTCAAACACAGGTCTTAGCATTGCACCTCCCAAGGCCAAACTCCAACAGAAGGAGTTTGGGCATAACAAGTAGGGCCCGACAGAAGCCTCCATACCCGCTTCCTGACAGAGGGTTTCCCTTCCTCCTTCCAGACTCGGGTTCCAAGCACGAAGCCCTCCACTGGACCTTTTTAATCGCTAATTGTTAAAGCACATTTAGTGTCAGAATCAACAGGCAAGAAATGCTGGGGTTGACTCCTAAGCTCTGGGCATTGGGAGGCAGGAGCAGAAGGAAGAAAAGGCTGTGGGGTGGAAGGAGGCTTGTTTATCAGCAAAAGGAAACAACTTACATGCTGCAGTTTCTTTCCAACAGGATCTCCTGCAAAGCCAACCAGCCACAGAGGAATGCCAGGATCATTCACCATCACATTACTGAATAGGTACTGTGGCAGGCAGAATCATGCCCCCCAGCAAAGTGGTCCATATCTTAATCCCCAGAACCTATTAAGGGTTCTGGTCACCAATTCCGATGTAGGGGGGAGCAGTTTTACCACACCACCAAGCACTGCTCCAGACACCAGCTGGGTGTCCTACAATGCAACTCAGTTCTGACACTGTCTACCCAGGAGATAGCATCAGATTCCACAGGTTAAGGGCTCAGTCCCACAGGACTGCCCCGCTTCAGACGCCAGTCACCTGCAAGCCCAGGTTGTCACCTGTGCTTCTGACTGACCACCTATAGACTGGAGGTTTGCACGACCCCTCCTTGGGTCCCATCACTTTGCTAGAGTGGCTCACATCTCAGAGAAACATTTTCCTTACTAGATTGCCATTTATTTAAAAAGTATATAACTCAGGAACAGCCAGATGGGAGAGATGCATGGGGCAAGGTACAGGGAAAGGGCACAGAGCTTCCATGCTCTCTAGGTGCGTCACTGTCCCCAAATCTCTACTGTGTTCACCAACCCGGAAGCTCTCAGAACCCATACTTTTGGGTTTTCATGGAGGCTTCATTGCAGAGGCATGACAGATCAGCTCTTGGTTCTTTTCCTGCAGGTAAGAAGGCTGTCAAAGTCATTTTAAAGGGATTTTTTTTTTCTTTACTTTGGGAGAAACAAAAATTAAAACGTTAAATTTTAAAAGAAAGTAGTAACGCTGTCCTCTAAATTGTTCCCAGCTGCAGGAGGAAACCGCTTTAGTTGCAACTAAATTTAAATAGAACAGTGGTTAAGATAATTAAAAGGCTTAAGTATTGATGAATAAAAATAGAGAGGTTTATGGGCAGAATCAGGCTATGGCTGTTACTCCCAATTTCCTTGTAATCCCTGGAAAAATCTATGGGCTTCTGGAACAGGGAGGGCACCAACACCTCCCAAGCAAGGGCCCAGCATAAATCTTTCAAAGATGCCTTTAAGGGCCTGCCAGGTGCTATGCTAACTAAACAACTAATGTACATTGTCTCATTTAATCCTCATGGAAACTCTCAGAACTTGCCATTATTACAGATGAAGTCCTGGAGGCTCAGAGACCATAATCTGGTAGTCTGTCAAAGATCACTTAACTTATGCTCATAAATAGAGAAGCTGTTTGTTTGAATTCAAACCATATGACACAAAAGTCATAAGCTTCCACTCTATTGCTTGGTCTGGAAAAGTGTCTTATTTGTGTTTTTAAAAAGACAAAGAGTAGGACTTCCCTGGTGGCGCAGTGGTTAAGAATCCGCCTGCCAACGCAGGGGACACGGGTTCGAGCCCTGGCCCGGGAAGATTCCACATGCCATGGAGCAACTAAGACCGTGCGCCACAACTACTTAGCCTACGCTCTAGAGCCTGTGAGCCACAACTACTGAAGCCCTGGTGCCTAGAGCCCGTGCTCCACAACAGGAGAAGCCACCGCAATGAGAAGACTGCACCACGACGAAGAGTAGCCCCTGCTTGCTGCAACTAGAGAAAGCCCACGTGCAGCAGTGAAGACCCAATGCAGCCAAAAATAAATACATTTGTTTAAAAAAAAAAAAAGACAGGGGCTTCCCTGGTGGCGCAGTGGTTGAGGGTCCGCCTGCCGATGCAGGGGACACGGGTTCGTGCCCCGGTCCGGGAGGATCCCACATGCCGTGGAGCGGCTGGGCCCGTGAGCCATGGCCGCTGAGCCTGCGCGTCGGGAGCCTGTGCTCCGCAACGGGAGAGGCCACAGCAGTGAGAGGCCCGCGTAGGCAAAAAAAAAAAAAAGACAAAGAGTATATAAAGAACTCTTACAACTCAATAATAAGGCAAATAGGGAGTTCCCTGGTGGTCTAGTGGTTAGGATTCGGCGCTTTCACTGCAGAGGCCTGGGTTCGATCCCTGGTCAGAGAAACCATCCTGCATGCAGTCCAGCGTAGCCAAAATAATAATGCAAATAAACCAATTAAAAGTGGACAAATCACCTGATAGACATATCTCCAAAGATAAACAAATGTCCAATAAGCACATGAAAAAGACTCTCAACATATTTAGCCATTAAGGAAATGCAAATCAAAGCCACAGTGATACATCACATCCACTAGGAGGGCTATAATTTAAAAGACAGACAATAAGTGTTGAGATGTGGAGAAATGGGAACCCTCATATTAATGGTAGGAACGTAAAGTGGTGCCGTTTGGGACACAGTTTGGCAGTTTCTCAAAAAGTTAAAGAGAATTCCATATGACCCAGCAATTCCACTCCTGGGTATCTACTCAAGATAAATTAAAATTGATGTCCACCAAAAACTTGTTCACAAATATTCACAGCAGCATTGTTCACAAGATCCAAAAAAAAACAACACGGGAACTTCCCTGGTGGCGCAATGGTTAAAGAATCTGCCTGCCAATGCAGGGGACACGGGTTCGATCCCTGGTCGGGGAAGATCCCACATGCCTGCCACAGAGCAACTAAGTCCTTGTGCCACAACTACTGAGCCTGCGTGCTGCAACTACTGAAGCTCACACACCTAAAGCCCGTGCTCCGCAGCAGGAGAAGCCACCGCAATGAGAAGCCCGCACACCGCAAGGAAGAGTGGCCCTGGCCACAACTAAAGAAAGAAACTAAAGAAAGCCCACACGCAAAAACGAAGACCCAACGCTGCCAAAAACAAATTAAATTTAAAAAAACAAGAAACAACTCAAATGATCAATTGACAGATGAACAGATAAATAAAATGTATACCCAAAGAATGGAATATTATCTGGCAATATAAGTGGACTAAAATATTGATAAATGTCACAACATGGATGAATCTCAAAAACATGATGCTACAGTAAGAAACCACACACAAAGGGCCACATATTGTATGATTCCACTTATATGAAAAGTCCAGACTAGGCAAATCTGTAGAGACAGAAAGTAGATTGGTGGCCGCCTAGGTCTGGGGGGGTGGGGGGCGGCGGGGAATGAGGAGTGACTGCTAATAAGGTTTCCTTTTGGCGCCCCAAATGCTCTCAACAGGGAAATGTTCTAAAATTAGATTGTGGTGATGGTTGCACTGTAAATATACTAAATACCTTTTAATTGTACACCTAAAACAGGTGAATTTTATGGTGTGCAAATTATATCTCAATAAAGTTGTTTTTTTTTAAAGGTAAGGCACATTTTCAAGAATGGCTGGAATAAGCATTTCCAAACCAACGCCCACACAAATGAAGCCAATGAGTGGCCAGGATCATTCAGTCCCCCTGGCTTGTACTGGATTTAGAACGTATTGCGTTAGCCTCAACAGCACGTTTAGCTTTTTAAGCTAAAAAGTTTTTAAATTTAAAGTTTTTAAATTCAGTCTGGTATCCACTCCCACCCACCAACCCCACTAAAAATTAGTTCTGCAGACGCACCTGGCGAGAGCAAGCGACAAGCTCCGAGGGGTAACACGCGCCCCGCCACCATGGACGGGAAATGAGAGGTGCAGTTTCCACAAACGCCTCCCAACGCCCAGGTCCCCGCCACCGTCCGCCCGGCAGCCCGGGGCCGGGAACCAAAAGGCTGTACCTTCCCCCGGCCAGGTACATCCAGCCTGCAGCCCAGACGCTGAGCCTTAGCTCCTTCTTCCTGCGCGCTTCTACTCCTCCGACGCCCGCGGGGCACGGGGCGGGGCCGCCCCTCCGCAGCCAATCCCCGGGCGGCTGCAGCCCGGCCGGGCTGGAAGACCTGTGTGCTAGCTGCGCCGCGCCAGCTGTGCTAGCTGGGACCGTAATTGCACCGGCTCGGGAGCAAGCGCCCGCGGGCCCTGCTCCCGCTTTTAATAGACATCCTCCCCACACGCACACACATCCAAAATATGCATGCAGAGAGAGTGGAGCGAGTGACAGTGGCGCGCGCCTAGCTGTTTTAGGAGTGGAGGGGCTCCCATCCTGGGTCGGAGAGGTGCACGTGGAGCACTTGAGCTGCGTTTGAAGGCAGCGCCTGGCCTAGACCGGCTCAGTGCAGATGGGGAGCTGCTTGCCCAAAAAGTGGGGGGCCCTAACCACGCGGGCGCAACCGGTCAGCACGTAGAGCTGCTGCTACCTTCCCCCGAACATGCACCCCGGACCCGCCTCTGCAGAGGCACTGACCCCGGCGCCCCCGGGTCTGGGCGGGAGGTGGCGGGCGGGGAGGCGCCAGCCTCGGAGGGGAGGGGCGCGCGGAGAGGGCGGGCTGCCCGCTGGCGGCCCACCGTCCGTCGCGGCGCCGGGGACACTCCCGCCGCCTCCGCTTCGTCTCCCCTGGTCCCCGGGAGTGTGGGCAGGGCTGTCCCCGGGCTTCTGTGGGCCCGGCCTCTCCCACTTCGGGAGGAAAACGCAGGGGAAGGCCCCGGCGCCCGCCACCCCCGGAGACCCGCGGAGACCCCGGCCGTGCAGGCGCTGAAGACGAGCTCGGGCGGGGCCCCGGTGCGTCGTGCCTGTCGCCGTCCGTGTCCGGAGCGGCGGCTCGCGCCCGCCCGCTCGGCGCCCCGATCCCCCCGCCCCGGGCCGTAGGGGCCCCACCCTGCGGGGTGTAGGCGACGGCCGGCCCGGGACGAGCGGAGCAGCCGTCGCGGGGCCTCGCCGCGGCCTC